GCTGTGCACTGTTGACATGATTGTTAGCAAGCATTATGTAAATAAGCATCTACCACTTCCTTCCACAATTGTATGACTCTGCACCGAGCAGCGCCCGATTATTCCTGGTTCGTCTGCCTTTGTTTTCTTTGTAATATGAGACGTGCGTGTACGAAACAGTAATCCCGGTAACTGCAATAATGATCTTCTCCTACTCTTTCACAGCTAGATAAACAAACTTCCTGGCCTGTGACTACGCCACTTCTTCTCCTCCTGATCACAACAATGCAGTTGAGTCTGTTGTTTGAGCTTCTGTGTCTCCTTTACTTCACTGACGTTATTGGTAAACAAGCACCTAATTAAACAATGCTGCAAAGTGTATGGCACTCCTCAACCTGCGCTACTATAAATAGGTGAGAGTTAAGAAAGGGTATTGTACATGATGGAGGGGGAAAAAACCCTCTCAGAGCCTCTTTGTTGTTTGTGTGAGAGAGGAGATGAAAGACAAACGCCTACGCTGCCTGAATGGCTGAGACACACCTCACCCTCTCTCCTCACCTCCTCCTCCTCTCCCCCCATCCTCTTTCTCTTCTTCACTGCCTCCTTTCTTGCATCTCTCTCATCCCACGAGCTGAACAGGACTCCCTTGTTTGCCCCCCTAACCCCACCCCTCTCTTTCTCACACACACACACACACACACACACACTTGTTAAGGTTGATGCCAGTTTTGCACGGTGTACGCCTCAGTCACCAGAACACAGAGGCACAAACAGGGCTCACAGAAACTCACAAACAGCCTGACAAGTTCCCAGTTTGAAGGCCGACGCACACATCCATGCTGCACAGTTTCTCTCCTCTATCGGTCTTCACGTTTCCTTTTTGTCTCCATTAATTAGAGCTGGTCTAACCTTTGGTGCTGCCCTCCCCTCCCTCCCCCTTCTCGTCCCCAACACCCCAGGCTTCATCCATCTACTGTGAAAAAGACATCTCCAGCAGAATAAAAAATGAATGTGACAACGTTTTTCTTTTTTGGGGGGGGTGGGGGGAGAAACAATGGGGAGAGTCCCAGCGCAGCGCTCCGTTAGGTTATTTATCTCCAGGTAAAGAAGTGTCTCATCCCCTACTTTTCCTTCCACCTTTGCTAATCCTACACTCCCACAGCCCCAGTGCTCCTCTTCAGCCACCTCACTCCCTCCTTCTCCTCCTCTTCCTCCCCTGAGAGTCACCTCAGAAATCCATACATTACAATCTGGACCTCTGGAACTAGCGAAACGGCAACACTTTTAATTTTTAATCAGGGCCTCAGTCAGAGGGGACCTGGCTTTTTCCGCTCGCCTTCTCCCGCCACCTTTCTCTCACCTTCACTTCTACCCTCTCCCTCTCTCTTTTACTCGAACTCGCCCACGCACCCCATCCCTCGTGCCTCCCTTCCCAAAGTCACGGTGATGAATGGGTGAGCGCTGCCATCTCCGTGCCCACCAGCAAGAGGCAGAGGCCGGCTAACGCGGCTCAGACGCTCTCGGGGATCACAGGCAGGGAGGAGAGTAATTAATCCAGTAGGATGGGAGGCAGGGTTGCAGGACATACTGTGAGCTTCAGGAGAGTGTTTGTATGTGTGTGTATGTGTGTGTGTCTGTCTGTCTGTGTGTGTGTGTGTGTGTGTTGGAGCACATTATTGGAAACAGAGGATAGAAACACCAGACAGTTTTTTTTATCTACGTATAACTGGGGGTTCAGAGCACAAGGTTAGGCTAGTGTGCGTGTGTGTGTGTGTGTGTGTGTGTGTGTGTGTGTGTGAGAGAGAGAGAGTGGGTAGATGAGCTCCTTAAATAAACACCACTTGGGTACAGACAGGAGCAGCCAGAGGCAGCACATACAAGGCTGTCCTTGAACTCCAGGGTCAAACACACTATTACAGCCACACACACACACACACACACACACACACACATATAATAAACACACAATAAATTCTAACATCTGCAAGGATGAAGAACGAGGCTTTTTAAAATTGTGAAGGGGTGTGAGTCATTATTTCAGCTCCTTTGTTTGAGTAAATCCATTGTCGGTACCGATACTCAGAATAATCAGTAAACTCTAATTGTCCGCGGCCGGTAGGGAGGACTCAGCTTCTAAATTAAATTGCACTCACCTTGATAAGAGAGTCTCCCAGACAACTACGAGGTAAATGAAAGATGTGAAGGAGTTGGATGTATAAACAGGTGTGTTCTCCATCAAAGCTCTATGTTAATTGGCCCAATCCATTACCCACTTTGACGTGCTTAATGTTTCGGGGGATGACCGATTAGTGCAACATGGAGCGCCGTACACAAGCGCCTGGCTGGTTTCCTCTGGTCCGTGACGTCTAACCAGGGGCTACAGCTCCATGCATCATTAGTCCTGGCCTAGCCAGCATACCAATCACATGTCCCTGTAGCCTAATAGGGAAACTGACGGGAAATGGAGGAAATGGCTTCGATGCTGTAGAGCTGCTCTGTGCGGTCTCCCGGGTTTTTGTGTGCGTGTATTAATGGACAAGGCTTGAGGAATTATGGCACAAATGAAGCTAGAAAGGAAATGTGTCAACCTTCCGGGATTGAATGGAACATGGTTGGGAAATATTGGATTTTGCAGCAAACATGAAAAACATGTGGAGAATGTGTGAGTGCACACAGAGCAGGAGGGGCACTGAAAAGCGCAGGTCTTGTGAAGAGAGGAAATTGTGCTCGGATGCTTCGTGTCAAGCTTTCATCTTGTTTCTGGTACACAGCAGGCAGCAGATCAGTGCATGAAAGGTGCAACACCTGAGTGTAAAGGTAGTCTCTCTTCTCTAACTTTTGACACCATGTACCACCTTGGAAAATATTAGGTTCTCAAAGTACCACTATTATGACCGATGATAAAATACAGAGGAGCTAGGTTAATTGCATAATAAAAAGACCTGGTAGAGCTAGAGGAGTCCTTGCTGCAGTGGCCATGGGTTTGACTCCGACCTGTGACCCTTTGCTTTCACCTTTCAGCTATCACTATCAACTAAAGGCAATAAAGCCCCCCCAAAAATGTTTATTTATTGTTGACTGTTGTTAAATCCTGACTATGACAGGTCCAAGAACCAGAGGTAATTTGGTGGAAAAGGATTACTCCTGATCTACACTTCTCTTCCTAATAGTTCCCATTTGGAGCCACAATTGCAGTTTTTTTTAATTTTACCTCCGCTTACTATCTTGCCATCACATTTTAAGAACAAACAAGAATTTTCATTCGTTGTAGTATTCTAATTTACGTTTTTAAATCAAAATATTTTCAGAGAATCCTCCGCATACCACCAGAGGCAGCTTGTATACTATCAGTGGTACAAAATGTTACGGCAATAAATATAGTAGTTGTTTGGATATTTCAGTCAGGACCAAAGTGGTGGATCCATCAACAGCCCGACATTACCATCCCCAGAGCCACGCAGCTAGCATGGCTAAAAACCCTCGCCGTGTTTTCCTCCGTTACTCTTAGTCAGCGACGGGTTTCATCAAGCGTTACGAGTCGGCTGCCCTGGATACAGGTAGAAGTAGGTGTCGTGCTGCAGCCCACATAACGTGACCCATTTTTTCAGAAAGGAGGAGCAATCAGCAGCACAGCCGAGGGGTTCCAGAGACAGGGAGCACACACACAGTCCCAGAGGACAGACAGCTATTACAGCACAGGAAATACAATCATCTACGAGCCTAGAGGCTAAATGTAAGATTCAGCAATAGCGGAGTTAGGTTCTTTTTAAGTCCAATCAGCAACCCCCACTGGCTCATAAATGTGTTGGTGATGCTTGAAGATTTGATCAAAGATACTTGTCCACCTATTGAGGACAATTGTTGTTGCAGTGAACGGTATTATAACTGTGAAAAGAGAGAAATGGTGTTTTCTCCACGGATTTTCCCCATCATGGGAGTCTTTTTTTTCATTTTTACGGGGGAGATTACCAGACTTTTATGAAGCAAGAGTGTAGCTGCTGGTTCCCAGTATGGCAAGATCAGGGAGGGAAATGGAAAGAGTGGATGAAAGAGGAGAGGCAAGGAGGGATGAGTGGAGATGAGAGGTCACAGCGGAGGGGAGAGCAGCCTGACAGATATGGAAATGAAGTCAAGAGGGAGACAGAGATACGAACTTTTCCTTCACTTCCTCTTTGTATTTACCCTTCAAAAAAATAGAGTGAGGCCTAATAAAACATTTATCATTCCAGGAAAGCTCTTTAATGTCTTTGACATTAAAAGACTGAAAGGAGGGAGAGAGATGAAAAGACACCAGACAGGAAGAGAGAGAGAGAGAGAGAGAGAGAGAGAGAGGAGGATGTATATGATGGTGGTGAAAGGGCTCGACGAGTCAGAGGACAAGAAATCACAAAGGTGTGAAAGGAAGTAAGTGAGAGGTGAGTGAATTACACAGAGTTTGAGGATGAAAAGCAGACAAATAATTGATTAGAAGAAAAAAGACAGTCGGGCAGAATTACAGGACAAATCCAGCCTTAAAGGTGATTTATATATGTCGTTTAGCTTGAAGGATCTTGGATGGTAAAGGCTTAATTTGTGAAACAAATCTGTTCAGGTAGCTGAGCTCAAGACTTGGGCTGGGTAAATGTTTTAATAGCAGTGTCAACACAAGATGTGAGTTTCTGTGTCAATACTTGACTTGAAGAGAAACTGAACTGAACTGAACACTTGAAATTTCTTGTTTTTTGCTCCAGTAACTTCTTTCTGCAGTGATGTATACAGGTGTACTCCAGGACCCTGTGGGATCACTGTTGGATGTGGTTAAGAGTAAGACAGAGCACATTTCTGACTGTGACCAGAGGTGAAACAAGTATTAATACAAGTTTCTCTTTAAAGTTATATTCCTTGACATTTCATGAACTCAAACCCCATTTTTGATACTGTTCAATGCATTTACATTCTGTAGTTATCTCGCTTTATACCAGCTTTTAGTGGCGGAGTCCGACATTCCAGTACTTGATTCAGATATCAACACACAAGGGATTAACAAGAGCAAATCTCTTTAATGTTACCACAGTAATAAGGCTAACATTGACAATCTGACATCAGGTGAATTCCTCTTGATGTAGCTATTAAGTTAGCTAGCCATTTATCTAGCATTTTGTTACCACTAGCCACATGTGACTATATGTAATGTGTCAGTAAAGACTTTTACGCTTTTACAGCAACATCTTTTAACCTACTTAAAATCTGTCTTTTCAACATAGACGAGGCTAGCACATAGCACATCTACAGGAAAGAAGAAAGTCGACTTAGGTTTGCTCAACTGTTATTGGTGCACAGAGCAAAAAGGGGCAGGAGTTAAGAATATAGAGAAAATAGAGATCAAAGTAAAGATGCATCACATGCTGACTTGCTTGCTAGAAATGAAGCTAAAGTTTGATACTGTATGAATGAACACATTATATTCAGACAATTGCATATGTGTTCTTCAGATGTCTCTTCTCTCTCTGACATAATAAAGCAAGAAATAAAGCCCTTCAAAAAGACACACGTACTGACAAAGAACTATTGAATCTGCCTATAGTTACAGAAACTCTGATTAGCAAGAGAGGAGTTTTTTGTGGGTTTTTGTATCTACAAAATCAGCAGCGTTAGATCTTTGATTGTCCGCTTTGTGGTTCTGAAAATGAGCTGTTCTAGTTCACAAAGAGTGATTGTAAGAGTCTGAGATTACGAGAGAAATATTTGTGCATTCTGTTTTAGTGCTTTCTCTGAAATATGTGTCTGAAGTGATGTGAGAAAAGAAGATAGAGAGTGACAGACCGAGACAGAAACAAAATGAATTGGAAAAATGAAAGTGAGGCAGACAAAGAAGCAGAACACAGACGGAGGAATTAATGAAAATGAAATGTGACGGTGCAAAAGAAACATCACGGCTGCATTCAATCATCCAAACAAATACATAAACAGGCTGAACAGAAACAGCCAAACAGGAATTAGACGACTGAGACTTGTATGGTTTCATGATTGGATGACATATTTGGACATTTACGCCCGTAACACTGATCGTTAAGATGTTCCACATTAACAAATCTCACTGCAACAACAGGGAAGAAGGAATACAAGATGGTCTGGTAGTTAGTGCTTACTGTGAGTGAATAGCGTCACTTACATAAAAAATAAAATAAGTTTACAAGCAATAAGGATAATCTTATAATAATAAATTGTGATTATGGATGGTTTATGTCAGTTTCTTCCACCTCGCAAGCTATAAGTTAAACAATATAAAACTGTAAACATATCACTTCTACAGTAGAATACTAAAGAGATAAATATACAGGTACACGCTGAAAAACATGTCACTTCTGACAGGTATTGTAGTATGTGTCAGCAGTCGTGACTGAAGGCAGCAGGGTGATTGAAATGTTTGTATGCGTAAAACTGTGGTGATTGTTTTGAATGGGTAAAAAAAAACAGACAGAATACCAAACGTATTTTTATACGTCTCATTGTAAACGCTACGTTGTCTCAACCTATAACTGCTGTATTCCTATAAGCAAGGCGAGGTAAAGAGGTGAAAATGTTCTTAATATAGTGTCTCGCAAAACTGACGTAGATTATTTTAAGGTGGAAAATATTCAGCAGTGCATTGCTCTGCTTCCCTGCCAGGACTCCAGTCTGCTTCTCCAAACTGGGGGCGCTCTGACTTCTGTCTACTGCAGGTTTCCTCATACAACCCTGATTCAAAAAACCCAAACTAGCCCTTTAAATTTGCACTTAGGTGTTAGAAGTGGCAAAACTATACACACTCTTTTCTCAAGTAGAAGTACAGATACTCTGGTAAAAGTAGAAGTACTGAATCAACTTATTTATTCAAGTAAAAGTGAAAAGTACAGGCTCTGAAATATACTAAAAGTATAAAAGTAAAAAGGTTCTCTATTTTCTCTGAAGGACAAATCTGAAACTTCAAATAGGGTTGAATCTCCCACTCTTGTTTGTTTCGTCTTGTTACAGCTTTTGACTAATTTTTGTCTTGTTATGTCTGTAATGCGTGAAATGCACTGATCTTGACTGTGAGAAGCAAGGACGGAATTTTGATTTCAGAGGTGGGGGGGACACGTACACACAAGTATTTTTAATAAAACTCTAACTCTTTCAGTTCACTGTGTTTTCTAGCAATTCTTCTAGTTTTCTATTGCTACTTTTAAGTTTACTGTTCCCTTTTTGGTTTGACTGGTTGTAAAGCTGTGTTTCACCTTGTTAGTCAACTTCACTCCAACTCAGTACCACCAATTTTACACTTATTTTTGGAATATATGGTAAACAGACCTCATTTACATAGCACCACCCAGTGGTGGGCAGGTCAAACTGGCAGGAATATCACAGGTGGGGAGAAATTTAATAAAATGTCCATAATTCAGTGTAAGTAGTAACACACACACGCACGCACGCACGCACATGGACACCGATTCAAACGTTAATGTAAATGAAACCTCTGATATTGCAATCCTTCTAGCTGACGTGACCCAGGCAGAACAAACGCCCAATTTACAGTGGCAGACTAATAAGGACTCCTGGGCAACTAGCAGACCGGTGTGCAAGCAAGATGGAGTGACAGCCAATCACACAAGAAACGGCAGAGCCAATCGAGGAGCTTGTGGGTGGGTCTAAACTAAGGGAAACAGGCTTCAGCTTCAGCAGCCGTTTTCTGCTTGGTCCTAATGCTTGACGTGACGGTAAAAAATGCAGGGGAAAAAAACGGCCTTTTGAAAAAGTGCAGGGGACATGTCCCCTGTGTCCCCCCCCCAAATGACGTCCATGGTGGGAAGGCGTGCAAATGCTGCAAAAAGAAGACACAAAAAAAATCAATAATTCCCCCCAAATGCATTAAAACTAAAGTAACAAGCTTTTATTTTAAACTGTATGGAGTAGACAGTACAGACATTTATGTGTGAAAATGTAGGGGGTAAAATAAAGAGTTTTATTGAAGTCAGATACCTAAAAAAACTGCTCAAATACAGTAACAGTAAGTATTTGCACTTTGTTACTTCCCACCTCTGATGACTTTATGCGACTGAGCAAAGTTTTGTGACTAAGCCAAAATCAGCATCGCTATCAGAGTGTAAAAGAGGCAATAATCATTAACATTAACTATTCATTAAAGAAACAGCCACAGCAGATTCGGTCCACTAAGTGTACAGTGGAAAGCTCCATGTGCACTTTTACTGCTCCTCTCTCTGATACGTGGCTTCGTCTCACACGGCAGTCGATTGACTTTTTAAGGAATCATCAAAGGAAACGGCACCACCAGGGCGCACAGAGAGCGCCAAGAAATGTGCTGAGCTTAACACACAGTCACATCCATCATTTGCACATGGCAGCCTGGTTGAGCTGTTGCATTCGTTCACACCGACTTAACAATGAGACGAATATGAAAGTTATAATTTACATCTGTCGCTTTCTCGTGTTATATAATAGTGTTTGTCGTTAACAATGTATTATCCTGTTATTTGTGATCATCTATTCTGAAGCCTCTGATGTCCTACATTTATTTTGTTTTGCTTTGCAATGAGAAGATTATATTAAAGTACCACACTGTGTTTTTTCTGGGTGGAGCTCTATTTTTTTTAGGGGTTAGTTACAGAAGGTCAAAAATTAAGGAAGACATAAAAATGATATCTTCACATATTGCTCAATATGCTCTTTAAAAAAAAAAATGACAGTCTCCTGTGTCACAGTCGCCCCCCGGTGTTTTGACAGACAGGATGCGATGCTGTGGGAGGATGAGGAGCCTCTCATCGGCTCTGTGTTGTCATTCTAAACTTAATCAAGTAGACATGCCAAATAATGCATGAAGTAAATATATCAGCTGGACACTTACGTGCAAAGACACACAGTGTTTGTAGTTTACTGTCATCAAAGTAAGTAAAAATCCAAACATCCATAAAAAAGAAGACATTTTTGCATTAAAATAGTGTTTTTGTCTAATTAAAACAGGATTTGAGTTGGTGATTGGATTGAAGCATAACTTAACATCTCTATTGGAAGTATGTTATATAGCTGAGCTGTGAACATCACATTCTTTTCTTTCAGAGAATTTTTCTGAAGCTCTATACTGACATGTCCTTCACTTCCTGTTAACTTATATGTTGTGTTACGCATAAGCCTGGGTCTGTAATATTCCAAAGAAGCCTATAAGATGCTTTTTTAAAATCTAATATTATGTTCCCTTCCTTGTTAAATGATTTTTTGATTTTTCTATCAAAGAGACATTTCCCTTCCAAACGTCTCAGATGGATTCATTTATGTTTGAGACCCAAAAAAAATACAATTATCCAATATTTCACAAAAAAAATCAAAGATTAAAGCAAAGTACCAAGAATGATTCATGTAGCAGAACTTTGTTTTTCATTCTTTCATCTTCCATTAATCATCTTGCGACCCAAAGGATTTATCTTTAGTTAAAACTAGCTCCACTTTGACCAGTAACAGTAAAATGCTGCTAACACATTGTTACATTAGTATTAATAATCCAACAATAACATAAAACAATTAATTTGTCTAGGGAGCCGGTACTTTTACTTTTGGTATTTTTTGCTGATAAGACTACAGGACTTTTGCTTATAATGGAGTATGTTCACATTCATGCATTGGTACTTTGTATTACTTGTATTATGTATTACATATTCAGGGGTGTTGCTGTAACTCAGTAATGTTTTATACTCTAGTAATTTCTAAGTGAAATCTATTTTACTTTTACTAAAGTAGGTATTTTATTCTATTAAATACTGTTGGAATAAAATGCAGTTCAGAGGCATAATGTGGAAAGTGGGGGACATTTGCAGTAAATAGTATGACATGGTTCGACTCTGGTCCTGTTACTGACCTGGTCACTAATAATAATAATAGCTTTTATTTTTTTAGTCTTTTAAAACAAGGTTAGAGTGCTACAAACACACATGTAAATACAAGGATCAAAGCAAACAGAGCAATTATAAGAAGGCTCACCAATAAAAGGGAGTTTTTAGTAATCCCTTAAAAGAAATCATGCAATCATCACATCTGATGATGGATTTGGTTGGAAGATTGGAGCGGCCGGGAGCAGGAATAGGGGGTCAACAACTCTGTTATATATGTGGGAGCCATGCGAAATTGATTCTGTGTTTTATTGGAAGCCAATGAATAACAGGAACTGGTTCTGGTGTGTGACTGACTCCCAGTGTGTTAGCTAACAGCCGCATTCTGCACTAGCTGAAGGCGGGTTAAAGAGCACTGAGGGATGCAAGTGTACAGCGAGTTACAGTAATCTAAGCGAGAAAAGAACCAACTTCACTCTGCTCAGTTTGAACACGTGGAATTTTAAAATAATCAGTATTTTTAAATCCGTTTGAATAAAATTTCATAACGGTAACTGCATACTTCCACATGAGGAGAAACGGGATAGAACTTCTTCCAGCTGTGATCATATGATCACAGAGCAGAGAGACTTAAGAGTAGCCCCTGACAGCCTCTGGGCCTGAGCCACGAGGGCTGAAAGTTCAGGTCTCACTGGGGGGTCCCGTCACATTTCTGCCTGTATTAAGTAGCTCAAGCAGAGTCTGGACTATATGCATATAGACACACACACACACACACACACACACACACACACATGTGAGAGGACACACACACACCCTGCCATTGGGCTTTGTTCTTCCTATTGCTGTGGTCCACTGTGGGCTGCCATAGACGGCAGTTTGTCTGTCACACAGTCTGCGCTGAGCCTGGCAGTCAGACCCCAGGGAGGAAATCTGGCTCGCGAGCGGATCAGGGAGCCTCCAGTGATGCCTGATCTCGCCATGACACAGCCCCGCCCCTCTGTAAAATCAGAGATGTGAGGTGAGAGCTGCACTGTTCCAGTTTAAGCCACTGGAACTGACTGAGCACACACACCTAATACTTAGAAACACACACAGTGATTTGGGTTTAAATCCTAAAGAGGAAAAGACAGAAACAAAATATTCTAGCGTCGATTCAAACATCCATTACAAATGATTAAAACCTTCACGTTCAGAGTTCATCAGGTTTTCATCAGATTTCTGAATTCTTCCACTGCACCCACAACATCAGGCTCAGCATATGCTCCAATTTGTTCCAGGTATGTGGAGCACAAAATGTAAAATCTGTCTTTCTCAGGTCAGCGCTAACTCAGGGAAGCTGAAACAATAACATCCAACCGTGCAGTCAATAAGCCACTTACAATGTGAGGAGAAGTGCATTATTAATAAGCAATTTTTGATTCAAAATACATAAAGTACTAATATTAAACAATATAAAATACAAGGATCTGAGATAGTCACACAGCACATAGTGGCTTCAGAGGATAATGTGTAAAGACAGAGTTATTACAGAACATGGAAGAAGTTAAGACATATGTAGTCTTATCCACCCAACCCTCAACCTCCTACAGACACATAAATCCTACCCAGTACCAGGAGTTATAATTGCCTATCATATCCAAACCAGACATTTAAGTCAGTGACTCAACGGCAGGACAACAAGTTCAGAGGAATCTACCTGTACTCAGAACTCAGGTTAGAAAGACAATTTTTTGTCCTATTTTACGCAAATTTTACCCTCAAAGGGGCTTTACAGGATTACTTTAGTGGACTATTACTGCCACTACCTCCTGCTGTAATCTTTGTGGACATTTTTAGATCTTTTAAGAATTTTGTATATATATATTTTCAATAATCTGTACAATTATGCACCTGCAATGTGCTATCAGTCATATATGTATGTAAAAAGGTGTATATACTTTACATATAACTCTTTATTTTCTATTTCTATTATATTTTTAATCTATTGTGTTGTATGTTGTGTTGTATGTTGAGCTGCTGTAACAAGCCAATATCTCCAGCGTTGGATCAATAAAGTTATCCTATCTTATCCCCTCAGCACTCCAGATTTAACAGCAAATTCGTGATAACCAAGTTTGATTAACTTTATGCGATGCCACAAGCAGGCCAACAACCCACTCCCAACATCAAAACAACTCCACAAGGAGAGAAAGAGGAGGAGGGGAGAACCACAAGGCTTCATTCACAACAATCCATTTTGTTGCCAAAGATGAAGGTGTCCAAAAGGCCCTCACTGCAGAAGCAGAGCTTTATATACTGCAACTATTCCTTTCATATATCATGTGCCGTTGGATACACAAAAAACTGCATTAACCAAGCTACAAAAAATCCTTTGCAACATTTCAAATGATGAACAAAGTAGTAGTTAGATTTTTGTTACAAAAAAAAAAAAACTTAACATATTTATTCTCAACACCTGAATCTACTTTGTATACAAACTTAAGGTTTAAGGAAATCTTTTCTCTCTCTCTTTTCATAGAAATGTCCATTGTAACATTATTTAGAAAGCTCACAACAACAGATAATCTGTCCTTGATAATGTGCCACTACCTGTTAGGACCGATGACGACAGCAACGAGCTGTTAGGTTGACCAAGAAATCCGTTCTTTTGTTTTTAATTAACAGCTACACCAGAACTTGTCTGGTTGCATACTCTGACTGATGGAGGTCCTGTGTAGACACACAGAGCCAATATATCAGAGCCAATACTGGCCTATTGCAGATATATCGGTATCATATTGGTTTTGGCGTCTTGTGTTAACTGATATGAAAACTGAATGATTTACAGCACTGATGTTTAGCTACTTATTTCAATTTTATCTATTTTTTCAGTGTTAATTTCTAGAATTGGTTGACAATATAGCCTATATGTTAAATGATTTAATTATTTAATAACTGTATTTGTTCATAACTGTATTTGTTTAAGAAAGGAGCCTTCTTTTGCATAATCACCAGGGTTCCCACTCGTTTTAAGAAATCATTTTCCAGGAGCTTTCCAGGACATTTTACAGGATTTTGGCTTGACAATTCAGGACAGCACTTGCTTCCGGTCATATAATTTACCAGTAGGCCTAGCACTGACTTAACTCCTTTATGCTTCTTTTTTAATGACGTGAAGTGTCTCGCGTTCATTACGACACCGAAAAGATCGCTGTAAGTCTAGGGGGCGTTTAAAACGTTTTCCGTTCCGGTTCACGTCGAGTTAACCCATTTTAAGGTGTCATACTGCGCAGCTACCAACTCGGGTCGAGTTTCAAACAAAATACGTACCCATAGGTGTCTGTAGGCAATCTGAGTGATGGGCTCAAATACAAACATTTCAGGACAACATAGATTATCTCCAGGATATTTGGTCAATCAATCTCCAGGTGTTTCAGTGACTGGAAAACTCCCATATCGGTCAGCCTCTGGAATAAACTGTGTGTGGATACTGGGCTTTTCTTGACACCCTCTAAGTGCCCTGGTAACCCCCTGCACCCTTTTGATTCTCCAGGTTAATGGCAACAACTGCTTTCCATATCTACTTTTTGTGAACCAGGATTAACTGTATACTTATCGGGAAATTGAGGAGAGAGTCAGACATAGTGTGGGGGATTTTTGTTCTGCAAGGACAGCAGCCAAAGTCAGAATCCCAGTATCATAATGTAAAGGCAGAAATGTCACCGTTTACATATTCATCACATCCACTCTGCATCTTGCCAGAGGCCATGTATCCCAGTGTGGAACTGTGGGGCCCACATATAAAATATCACTCAAGCACTATTATGCTGAGCTGAAGTGTTAACCTGTAACACTTTCATATGAATAAATGTGTGCTTAATAGCTAATTGATAAAAAAATTGAATTGATGAAAGCTTTTTTTTTAGCAACAGTTAATGCATTGTGGTGCATAAAGGTTGGTTAAATGGTTTTATTTTGAATGAATAGATGGTTTAGCTCAGATTTATTAACCTACCGTCTTTATTTTCCACAATCTTTGATGGATGTACTTATATTTATTACCAGAGCAAAGTTTTATTAGCTTCAGCTTAGAATACATTCACATTATAACCTGGTATTTTATTAATTGTCTTTTCCAGAACTTGTGCTATTTTCTGGTCACAGTTAGAAATCTTTTAACATGCATATCTCTTTTTGACTAAAAATCTAATCACACAGAGTCAAGGTTAGTCACGTTACAGTGGGCCGAGTCCAGTAGAGTTGAATCAAATCAAATCAAGCTCCTTTTTTGATGAACTGATCAGTTTTATCGTCATTCAGTAGTTTTAAGATAAATGTGGCGGGTGTAGTTAGTTAAGAGACTTCAAAGAGGCTCTTTGAAATGAGGCCATGAAAATGCCAGAGCACTGGTGGAGTGTGCGTCTGTCCTTTAAAGTTTGCTCTTGGCTTCCTGACTGCGTGTTAATGATGAACAGATAAAATATTCAACTGAGTGGCGTTACTCTGCATCTGTCTGCCTGCGCTCACCCCTGAGCGCTCTGCGTGTGCCCAGACATATGTGCACACAAACACAAAGCACAAGGGTGTCCATCCGTCTGCCTGCCTGCCTGCACGCCGTCCTCGCACCGCACAGCATAAATGTAACTGATTGTGCTATTTTGCCTCCAAGTTAAAGGGCTGCGGATATGTGGTCTGCGGTTGGAGCGTGTCCGAGTGCGAAGCGGCAGGCAGTTAGTCTTATCTAAGAGAGGGGAGAGTTGGGTTGTGTAATTATTTTCACTGGCTTTGATCCAGAGCAGCCTCTTCTAGACACCTGTTGGCCTCTGGCTCTGTCTGAGGCCTGATAATTAGACCCACAACCACAAGAGCAAGAAACACACTGGGCTGTCATACATGCATATTAACAAGCATTCATTTCCCATCATGCTCCCATAATACCTATAATGTTACAATACAAACATATATTCACCAGTAATCCAGATAAACTTTCCGTTCAGCGTCACACTGGCGAAGTGACAGCTATCGTCAGTCAGACTGCAGCTCTGTGCCGTGGATTTAATTTCTCTGTTCTTCACTTCAGTGTCTCACTGAGAGCCTCAAAGCAGCTGCGTCCCCACTGTCATTCAAACTGCGCAGACTTTCAAATGACATTGACAGTCAAAGACTCTCCTGCCGCGCAAATGACAGCCACAGCTATTGATTGTGCTTTCTTTACAAGGAAAGTCAATTCATTCGAATTTCATTTGGTTTGTGTGTTTTCTTTTTTTACATCAGACATGGAGACTCAAGAAAAAGGCCCAAAGGGAAGCGGTCAATAGCAGACATTGCTTTAGAGAAGTGAATTCTTTAAAAAAAAATAATTTAGAGTGAAAGTAATTTCCTGACATGCCTTGTCTTGTTCCTTTTATTTCAGTACATTCCCAAGGCTGCCTATTATTTTTTCAAAGAACAGTGGAGCTTTCTACCATGATGAACCAAAGAAATACAGAAGAACAGAAGAATAGCTGGCCAGAGCCAATATCTACAATCAGTCACACAAAGATCCTCGTTTCCCGCAGCAAAGAACACAAGGTTCTTTGGCTATGAACATTTTTGTTTGTTGAAATTAAACTACAGTTTAACATCGACATTTGATCTGAATAAATAGCAACATAAATGTTCGAAACACGTCTCTGTAACTGCTTTAGTTTAACTTCGTACTTCTGGACTGAAACTGGCTATCTTCTCTTAGTAAATTACCATAATGCGCCATGGAGAAACATTTAAATTCCTAACTCAACTCCCTTCACTTTAAAAGGTCCAGTGTGTAACATTTAGGAGGATTAATTTGCAGAAATGGAATATAATATTCATACCTATCTTTTCATTAGTGTATAATCACCTGAATATAGGAATTATGTTTTCGTTAATATAAATGTAAAATGAGCCGTTTTTATCTACAGATGCTGCAGGTTGCCGTCCATGGAGTCCACCATGTTGAGCCACCATGTTGCTACAGTAACCTGGAACGGACAAACCAAACACTGGCCGTAGTTTCTCCAGTGGTATAGTTATTCACAATCTGAACCTTCACCACTAAATGCCACTAAATCCTACACACTGGTCAATCTGTCTGAGAAAATCAGGTTGGCTGAGTCAGTGATTACTTTTAAGTCCCTTCTTAAAACCAGACTTTTGTCCGAGAATCTTTCCTGATTTTACTTGAATTTTAGTTTTCGGAAGTATCTTTTATTTCCTAAATGTTTTTCTGGTTTTATCTGGTTTAAAATCTCTTTAAATTTATGTTTTTATAACGTGTTTTATTTTATTTTTTGCAATTTGTAATGTTGGATTTAAAAGTGCTCTATAAATAAAGATTATTACTAAATAAAGATTATTACTGTGTCTTGTTAATCAGACCAGAGACGCTATCCCGTAAGAAATTTTAAAAGTTTAAATTCTTTGGGGTTGCATTTTTGTCTTTATAGTCAACCTAAAGGCTTGATGGCAGTACTACAAAGTGGCACCGCTTACATTGCATGCATTCATTTGACTGACTGTTGAAAACAAAAATATTGCTGAGTCCAGCTTTAAAGTTTAGACTGTAAGACAGAAAAACACATGTTCATTACCTCGTACATTTTCAACCAGCTATCTCAGCACCAGCCTGCCTGACTTTCCTCTCTGCATCTGCTACCGAGCGCGTTTTCCCTTGAGTCGGTCATTAGCCCGCACAGACACTCCTCTAATTTTTACCCTTTTAACCTCATGAGGGCATCTGTACTTGTACTGAGTGTTGTAAGGAGATCCAGTCACCACCACACCCTTGGGTCTTGTCTACAGTTTGCTCTGAAATGTCGTGGTTAAACCCAACACCTCTCCTGGGGTTTTTTATCAGGGTTCGGACAGTTCCTAGTGTGTGTGTGTGTGTGTGTTTCATTTTTACTAACTGCTCACAAAAAAAACTCTATGCCCTTCTGAAAAATGCATGAATAAGAGTGCTGCCATTTTGTCGTTACAGCAAAGTTGTGCGTTCTACCTTTTAACCTGCGCGAACACTGCGTCTACCCCTTTAAATGTCCGAGATGTAAAAGCATACCTTGCTCAAACTATGAAGATATTTTATCGTGTTCAAAGTGGTCAGTCTTATAAAAACCTTTTACAAGCCAAAACTGAAAAGAAAAATAAGCAGAAAATAAATGACTTCATTCATCCGAAAAAGGTAATGTCCTTCCACCTTTAACAAAATTAATAATAACCGAGTATTTTAAAGAGCTTACAAGGTCCTTCATTTCACTTTTCACATTTTAAAAGCACACATTTCTCAACCTTTGCTTACAAAACACTTTCCCTTTTAGCTTCCAATTTGCTCTGGTCTTCCAACATCAAACCTTTACCTACCCCGGTGCAAATGAATGCTTTATGTGCCAAAATGTGTCATACATACACATGTGCCTGTCGTTGAATAATAAGAAGAAAAAGGTAGAAAAACATCAGAAAACCAAACAGACCTGTACACGACCTACAGAAGCTGCACACAGACAGACACGTGACCAGCCTCTAAACTTTCCCTGGTGCATTTGACTGTGCAGTTTTGCACAACAAATAAGCCCACTTAGAAAAAAGCTTGGCATCAAACAAAAACACAACCTAAGAGCTACCAGCGTGTTATAAGGTGTGCAAATTAAGCTGCATAAAACAAAGCTCAACATGAGAGGAAATCTGCACCGGCTCAGGAAAACTGCAGCTCTTGTTCTTTCAATTAATGGGGCGTTTCACACACACAGACACACACACACACACACACACACACACACACACACACAGGTCTTAACTCTCAACCTGATACGTTTTCGACCATTAGGATTATGCAATCTATTCACGTGTATCAAGCCTCATCCCGATACTGAGAAAGCCAAAATGAAGCGGGGTTCAAAGCAGGACAGGAAAGACTGCAGTATAATAGGAACGGGAGCTTCCTGCTAACACCTGTGACAAATCCTGCTCAACTGAGAGAAACAGAAAGCCTCTGGATAGCGGGCATGTGTAGCAGAAGAATAAAAAAAGGAGGGACACACAAAAAGAACGCTTGACCTAAAAGTACGATCTCGTCTTTTTCAGTTCTATTTATTCATGTGCGTATCCTCAGCGACCTTTGCTTAAAGGAATGGATTAACATTTTTTGAAATGTGCTTGAATTCAAAGAGAGGATACCACTCCTTTATCTGTACGTTAAATATGAAGCTACATAGCAACCTTTTAGCTTAACGTAGCACAAAGACTGGAGACAGGGAAACAGCTAGCCTGGCCCTACCAAGAAATAGTATAGAAGGACATAACTAACAGTAAAACCAAGCCTGGTTTATACAACTCAGGGTTTTCTATGGATTAAACAAACAAGAAGGTGGGGACACACATTACGACTGCTGAGCTGATTATGAATCTGATTTGTGGCGTGAAAACTGATGGGACTTGTAGGATCTGTTCCAGACTGTTAACAGTTATCAGACAAGACCATATAGTGTGTGATACGTAAAAGATACCAATCTTAAGTCTTCATATTCAGTTGTTGCCAGTTGGACTGATAAAGACTTCCCAGCTCTACAGTCCTACATGCCTCTCCATCCAGGATCTCACCCAAACTGTGTTTTTTCCTCCTCTTTTGGCCAGAATTAAACTGCATTAAACAGTGCGAGCTGCTGGTTGCCATTTGTTTTCGTGCAACAGTTCAGGCGTTCTCGCTGGGTCGTCTACTGACCAGTAGTTCAGTGTCTTGTCTAGTACATTTACTCAGTTGTAAGGTTTATGCTCTTTCCTGACTGCCAGACTTTTCCTGTCTAAAGTTGGTGGAAACAATCTGTATGTGTGGTTTCAGCTAATCTTCAGGTTTGTCCCAAGCTTTAGTGAGCTTAAGAGGTGCGGGTAGGAGGATTTTATTACCGTTGGACAGAGCTGGTACAGGTAGCTGTTCTTTCAGTTCCAGTCCTTATGTTAAGCTTGTCACGGTTCGTCGTGCCTCTCCCTCTTCCCTATGTTTTCTCGTTGTTTCCCCCTCCTTTTGTGTCACGTCTGTCCGCAGTCTGTCACTCTGTGTTGCGTGTGTGTCTGTGCTGGGCGTGGCTGTCTGATTAATCTCTCTTTTCACCTGCAGCTGATCATCTAATCAATGCCTCAGACCTGTACAGAATTTAAACCCGGCTTGTTCATCCAGACCACAGACAGTGTGCCAGTTGTTTTTTTGTGCTTTGCCTTGCTTTGTATTTACAACTCCGTGCTCTGCCTGTGCCTTAGGTTTCACCACACAACTAACCCGCCACGTCCAGCTCAGCCTTTGTCTCGTTGGTTTGGATTACAAGATTCACGACCAGCCCCACTCGTCTGCTGGCTCCAGAGAAACCCCAGCATAGACTTCAGATTCTGCCATTGTTGTTAGTATACATCCTTAACCATTTTCCTGACTCCTCCTTTTGCATTTGGGTCTGAAACTAACTGTAGCTTAATATTTACCGTTCCCAAATGAGAGTAGTATCAATCTTCTCTTTGAACTCTCAGTAAAAAATATGAATAAGCTTGAATTTCCTTAAATATTGAACTGCCATATCTGCAGAAACAGGACAGTGAGAAATTAAAGGGGGGGGGGCTCTCACTTATTAAAGCTGCATGAACTCCTGAACTCTGTCTGACTTCAGAGCAGTGATACACACATCGGGCAAATGAGGCTGGGAGTGGAATGGCCTGCATGGGTGAATGCTTGTCACCATTTTTAGAATAGTGGAGGAGTAGCACAGAGTTTGGTCATAACAGCCATTAATCCACTTGGACTGCTCTGAGGTGACAAACAACCAGTGCTGTGACACATCGGCGAGATCTTGACGGAGCAGATCACAGATACAGATATGTTTACAAATTGAAAGGGAGACGCAGACGGCAAAACAACAAAATCATTCACTGTGGGAGTGTGTGCACTTACCTCAGCTAACACGGCCGTACAAATGAAAAATAATGACAGTCGCTACAGAGGTTGACAGTTAGGAAGCAACACAACGGGATTATGATGGATGAGGGGGGAGATAGAGCTTGGGGGAAAGAGACAGGTAGCACTACAGCACCCATGAGAGACCGGTGGGGGGAGGGTTGGTTGGGTTTAGGGCAAGAGGAGTGAGTGACAGGGTGGTGCTGTCAGCTCCTCTGTGGCGCGCTCTTCAGGGGAGCCCCGGAGCGTGTTCTGTTAAGTAAACAGCTGCAGCGACGAGAGCTCCTCAAATATTAATAGGGAGCGATCCCCTCCACTCGCCTTGTTCAAACTGACAATCCCTGAAGTGGGCTGCAACGCTGCAGAAGGGAGCCGACGTAGTGGCATCTTGTAGCGCAGTGGAGGCCGCCAGAGCTGCCTATAGCACCCATCAGACCTGACAGGGCAGGGATCAACCAAGGGACACCCGGCCACAGAGAGGCCCTCCCTGTAGGCTGACACACAACCCCCTTGTGGCTCATTAATATCTGTGCCATCACAAGAAAACATTTCAGATTGCCGAGGAAAACATACTAAAACACAGTTGATCCCCACCCTCTCCAACCTCCATCTGTGCCCATCAGACAGAGATGAATTATAAATGAAAGGGTGCTCAATCTGAGAGGATCGATACTAACAACGTCTGAGTAAGCCATGATGGTTCTTCCTCTGTGTTTTTACCTCCCATCTTCCCACCACTCTCAGGGGATATAAAATGACAAACCGATCTCCAGCTGAATGCTAAAAAGTCAAGCTAACAAGGCAGAATTAACTACTTTTACGACCACCATTATGAAGTTGCGAAAAAAAAACGTGTATATTTCTGATTAGGGAGCTCTAACGAGACTCTATTCTACCTCCTTTGATCGACCCACCACTCCCCAACATCCAACCCATCACCTCTCCACTGACAGGCAGACCAGGGGAATTTTCTGAGGAGGAGTAATGGAGCTTGTCGGAGAGCTCCCTGCTTCACACCACTTAGCCTCCCGTCCAGCCGGGGTGGTTGGAGATGTAGGGATGTATGGGGAGGAGGGGTTAGAGAGGTGCACGACTGATGAGGCTCCACCGGGACTCGGAGCAGACTCCTCACCACCCAAACATTTCTCCTCACATCAGTCACGCCACGCGGGCAGAGAAGCGTGGAGCAGCTCCCTCCATCACGTCTGTGTCTTTCCTTCGTTAGGCTGTTAGTCCTGGATCACCCTTGGGCTACAGTGCCCTACTCACACACTCCAGCTGGGCGAACAAGGTGTCCTGCTTCATCAATAATTCCTAGAGTCAATCACCTCAATAAAGACTACTCCTCCGGCTGCAGCCTGAGCAGTGGCAGCGGCATTGTTTTAAGAAGTGGGTGTAAAAACCTGACAATTACTGTGAGATCAAAGTATGTAATAATGGATAGTAAGTAGTATGACATCAGCATCAAACCTTGAAGACAGTAAAATAAAAAAAAACAAGTTTTAACCCTGTGTCTCTGGGTTAATGAAACAAACCTGAACAAATATTTTAGATGACACACAAGGCATATACATATTCTTATCCAATCAAATATGAGTTGGGTTGATGCCATTCATAAAATTGCCCATGACCGCTCGTGGGTTGTAGAAGTTTGGATCCTAGTTGGGAAAAACTTTGCAAAGAAGGTAGTTGAGGTCTAATCTAGTTATTTTGTGTCACTATGACTTAATAGCATGCATAAAGATAAATTATAATCTTTTATATATATCCATATATCTTCCAAAATGAGTCATGAGTGTTTAACTTTAAACCTTGATATAATTCAAACAGGTGAGTTATAGGCCTATAAAAATTGGTTTTGGTCTGTATAGCTCATTTCCAAGTTCATGACAACTGTACATTTTTATACAACTCACCTGTTCAAATTATATTAATGCTTAAAGCTGCATAATTACGAGTGTGGCTGCTTTGAGTGACAGGTGGGTGCCATCACGTGGCTGTTTTCTAACCAGGCTTCATTTAACCCTCCTCAGCTCCACCCATGCTCCATTTTGAATTAGACGAGAGCCGGCGGAGTCAGGACTACCAAGATGGCGACAGGCAGAGCAGTGATCTTCACAACGGCTCTTCAGAAACCTATGCATGTGTCACAGAGACTACGTCCATTTATAATAATACAGTCAGCTTAAGGATCCCTTAACTTTTCATCAAGTGCGTCTTCCTGTCGTCTTTAGTCTCAGCTGTACTTAATTAGCAACTGTCAGGAACATGGAGAACTTCACCTGCTGCACATGTCAGCATGTCATTGTGAGAATGCACAGCCTCACTGAGCCGCTAGCATGGTTGCAGACTCTTGAAGTAATTTGAACCAGGAGATTCTGGTTCACTCCAGTTTTCTGTTCAAGGTCAGTTCGAGCAACTAAGGCTGTTTGGTGTAAGTTATTAAAACGTACTGTAAGTTAAAGGAAACCAGTGTTGAACTACAGTCTCCTGCCACACATTTTGCAATGTTACAACAACATCACACTACTTCCACCGTTGCTACTTAGAGACTCTCATAACAGCGAGAGGTGACTTTGAGGTCAGAAAAGGGTAAACATAAAAATTTTAGCTGTGAAATTAATTAATATGGTTATTTTTCAAACAAGGACAGTGGCCCTGTTTCAGAGGAAGTTAAATTTGGTTAATTGTTGTTACATATTTATATTGTTGTAAATAAGCCATGAGATCCGAAAGATGTAAGATCAGCGCCTCTGCCCTGCTCCACCCTGCCCTGACAGGTTGTTATGTCTGCATGGCTGAGCACATGTTGCATAAGCGCCTCAATATTTTATAGGATGAAATGAAAAATACATCTCTTTGAACTATAAGTGCCTGGTTGGAGTAGGAGGAAGAGGGCAAGCTGGAGGGGTCGCAAGGTGAAAAGAACTATGAAAGTGTAGAGGATGAGCAGAAATAAATGGGTCGCTTCTCAGAGCTGTGACAGTCTTATAATCTTCCTATTCAGGGAAACTCTGCACTGATATTATGAGACTGCAACCTGAATTAGGTTCAAACAACTTAGACCTGTGAGTGAACCGACTGCAGAGTGCACTTTGCCAAAGCGGGGGATGCTTTTCATAAACAACGAGACCTTGAAGATTAATTCTGGAGCAGGTGTCCCATGCCACAACCTGCCAAACGTTGTGCACAAAGAAAAAGATTGACAAGCAAACATGTTCAGGTCTTGCTGGGGTTGCCCCCACAGAGCTGAACTCAAATAACTTCAGATTGAGGGAGTGATAGCTTTGAGTAAAAAGGGAGAGAGAACTTTAGCAGCCAAAACACATCAGCTGTAAAGGCTTTAGATTTATACTGAATGTGGCTGCCCTGAAGTGAGGATAAATATAAACAAAGTGACGTCTAAGAACAGCCTCCATTTGAGCTAATATGAACTAACAAAACACGTCTTGTTAATAGATGTGGCTTTTCAAATGAGATCCTGCGTTTGCATTGATTAAGCTCACAGAAACAGCCTTGATTAAATAGAACTGTGGGCATTTCTGAAAAGCAGATTTGTATCATCCATTAAGTGGTGGAAAGTCTGAAATGATGTATGGAGATGCTGGGTGATTCATTTAAAGGAGCTCATTTGCTCAGTATGAGATGTGTTCATGTCAATATGCTGCTTTCACTCTTCACCCTTTCCTTCTCCTCTTCTTTCCTTTCCTTTTCCATCTCGTTTCCTCTCCTACCTCTCCTTCCCTTGCCCTTTCTCTCCTCTTCTCCCCTCCTCTCCATCCCGGCTGATGCACCAGTCATTTGACGGTAGAAAGAAACAAAGGCTCCTTCTCTCAGCTGGAGCTGGGAGGAGCTGTCAGTCCCCTCAGCTCCGTTTGATGATAGCATTTCAAATGACACTTTGATCCTCACTCCACACTGTTTGTTTTTCCTCTATGATGAAATATAGCTCGAGAGGCGTGCAACAGGGCACATCATTAAAATGTGGCTCAAACACGAAAAGCAATGCCGTGCCTAGAAACCACTCATGACAATTTTTTTGACACATCAGCGTAAAGAACACGACAGGGTAGGAGGCGAAGGAATTGTAGGGACAAACCGAAATCAAGCTTTCTCCCTGCTGATTACACTCCACTGAGGTGACACCAAAGCTGGAGCAAAACTTGGGTCTTTCTATAAAGACTGAATGAGAATAAATGAATCTAATGAGGCAGCTCTGTCGGAGCAAAGTGTTGTTTGTGGTCTATGAAGAGTAAAGCACACATTCCTGCCTTCAAGCTTAAGAAAATAACAGGGTGAGGATGTTTGGAGATGCAACTGCTTGAAAAAAACTCCATGAAGGGATTTCTTCATCGACTAAGATGTTGTTCATAAGAAAAAAAATCAAGGACACAACATAGAATAACAAAAAAAAAAAATGCATGCACACATTTTTAAGGTTATTTGATATTTTGTGTTTTTTTTTCTTCATTTCTAAAACAAGCTTAAAAGCAAAGCTAACTAATCCTCCTCTCCACAGGTCTTTCCAGAATGAATGTGAACATAATTTACCAACTCCTAATCTCAGTGGAGAAATCAGCCTTTGTTTCGGAATAATGCTGGAAATGCACTAATATGAACAGCCCAAAGTGTGAGTCTGAAAGAGTTGGCTCTTTTCTTTCCGGGGTGATAATTCTGCAATTGAAGATTTCCAGAGCCACAGCTGAAATAATATGCAAATATCCACCCCATGGGGTGCAGACTGGCTGACATATTATCAGCAGAGAGACAGGCGTTGCGTTTTTGGGTTTGAGTGCGGTCAAATCAAAAGACGGAGGCACGATTAGAAAAGGTGTTTTTGTGAAGCACGTGAGACAACAGGAGCACTTTAAACAGGATGCCAGCCCTGTTGGGGATAGGATGCTGAGGCCTCCTGTGGAGACAGGAGCGCCTGGCAACCTACATAAAGCCCAGAGAGATAAGACAGACAGTTTGGAAAGCCAAACAATGGAAAAATGAAAGCATGTTAAAAACGAAAACAAAGGTTTATCTGTGTGAAGAAAAAGTGAAATGATTCCCAGGAAGAGGTGATTTCAGGTTCAGTTGATTTCAACAGCCTCTCTAACTGGTCTTTGGGCAAAAGAAAGAGTGATTATTACTCACCTCTTTTACTCGTTTTCCCCAGGGGAGCTCTGCACCCAAGCCCCTTGTTTTAGGAGAGAGTGTCTAAACCTCTGGGTCGGCACCACATACAGAATGGTATACCTTGACATTCATTCTAGGAAGATCTCTAAAACTGACATACTGAAATGTATTCAATGTATTTCTAATAAAAATAGGTTTACAATATTTATAATGGTTTTATATATTTGAATCGCTCTATGCAGACTTGCTCTATAAAGCCTTGTTTGGACAATAACACGAAAGCCTCTCACAGCAAAATTATCATGGTTTTGTAATCAGTTATCATCGACTAATTTATTATTCATACAACAGACAGCTGTGGTTTCACTCAAACTCTGTCATTTGTCTTTGATGAAGGATCTGTGACACCAGTCACTAACATGAAACCAGTCATTGAGCTCAAACACAGAATTATACCATTAGGGCTACCACGTTTTCTTTGAAATTTGCTGAATATTTGATCTGTAATAAACTGTTTTAATTCACAGTTCTTAGTGTATAAAGGCGCCATGTCATACCTTATACTGCAGTCCAGCCCGTGGGGCATTCTTGAAACATCACCCACTGCTGGCTCTGTTGCACTTTCAGGAGATTGTTGTCTTGTTTGTCATGCTGGAAGCAAACCACCTGAGAAGTAATGTGTGGAAGCACTTTGGCTTTAACACCACAGACAAAACCTTGGATACAGGTAAGGCTGTTAGTTTTCTGTAAAATGCAACTGCACTACAGTAACATCAGTTTTTCATGTTAGCTTGTCACTTAAGTGAGGTAGAATAGGCACTGCAAATAAACAGAAAAGACCATTTTTAAAGAGAGTTACTATTGAACTGAAGAGTGGTGTACAGGTCCAGTGAAAGTGGCCGTGAAAAACATGAAGCCCATTCAGATAGAGTCACTGAGTATCTGTGGCAACAACATTTGTGACTTTATCCTGCCTGACAGCTTCCATTTTACACATTAAACCGAGATTCAGTGCCAAAAAGAGGAAAGCAGTAGCCTGACGAAGACTAGGGTGTGGCAGAGGACGTGGCAAAGGCTGTAGCTAACTTTTCGATTAATGTGTCAATCACTGTTTCCCAAACCACAAGGGGACATCCTCAAATGTCTTGTTTTGTCCATAGCTCAAATATTTAGTTTACTGTAATAAAATTACAGAAAATATTCACATTTGAAAACTGAGAATTTTTACATTTTTCTTAAAAAATGACTCAAAATGATTGATCGATTATAAAAATAGTTGGCATAAAATGAATAGCTGACAACTAATCCATAAAGCACTCCAGCTCTGTCACGACCAATGTTTTCTCTGAGTCACTTACTTTGTACAATGAAAATGTTTCTTACAAAGAGGTAAAAAAAAAAAAGAGACTGATATTGACTGAAAATGCTGCCTGAATAGCAATTCAGGAGAATACTAACAAATACTAAAGCGTCAATCTTAACGAGAGAAGTCCACCAAGCCAAGAATTCAAATAACTGTTGGTATAAAAATACACCCTATCCTCTTGCAGTTGCTTTTGTGTGGCTGCAAACACATCTCTTTTTTACAATAATTGTGTACGTATGCAGTATGTCTCACAATAAAGCTGTTTTTTGAACACATTCACTTTATCTGTTTCTGGTTTAATGTAAAAAAAACTTGAAGCAGCAGGATTCATACACAGAGGCTCCAGCCTAACACACATGGGGAAAATGTGACACAAAAACACACATTAGATTCACTTGCAGACTATGAAAACTTAATTCAATGGCAAACTGCATCTATTTTGTATTTGCCTCTGGTGATTCATTGTTTGATATTAGACTGCAGACTGAAAAATGAGAGGAAATACTAAGAAGGGCTGCATCACTAGTGCATTTGCTGTATCTGGATGTTTTGGTGCTTAAGTCTATATTCTTCCTCGGGCTCACAAACATTAAAATGTACTCTGAGGCTGTGCACTGTAAAGAGACCCTGAGCCTTGATCCTTTGTGGCTCCTGAGCACCGAGAGACACCTCAGAACTCAATTGCTGCTTTATTAAATATCAATCTGTACAACAGTTTGCCAGCCCAGCAGAGTGCTCAAAAAGTCCCGAAAAAT